GTACCAAAAATGAAAGTTCAAGGATAATTTTGGTACTTTTTAAAGGTGAGGGACAATTTTGGTACCAAAATGTAAAGTTGAGGGACCAAAATGGTACTTAAACCAAAAATTAATTCTAATTTTATCAAGCTCACAAATTACTTGTTTAGGGAGAAGGTATATCGACATCAGGAACACCGATAGGCTGGACAACAAGCATTTATGAGGGTGATTCTTCCACTAAGAGACAAGAATCTTCCTTTCCAACCTGAGAGCTTTCTTTTGAAAGTTTCAATTAGGGGTTTCCATGTATCTATTCTTCTTGGATTTGCTCCCAATGGCATATGCAGGTATTTGCAAGGAAGGGAATCGGTTTTACAATTCAACAGCCATGCCATTTTTTGGTCCATCCTTCATTAGTATTGACTCCAATTAAAGAGCTTTTTCTATAATTTACCTTCAGGCCTGACACCAGTTCAAATGCCCTCATTATGCATTTAATTGTCGATGTTGTTTTCAGTTGCCTCAACCATAAAGATTGTTTCATTTGCGAAGTATGGATGACTAATCTCTAGCTCCTTATCTCTTATTTTTACTCCACGAAGATATCCCTTTGAAACAGCTGTTGAAGTTAGTCCATTTAAAGCTTTTGCCACCATTAAGAACAAAAAGGGAGATAACGGGTCTCCTTATCGAAGCCCTCTTGACATTGAGAACTCTTTGGTAGCACTTCCATTAATTAATACAAACACAGTATTTGATTTTAAGCATTTAGAAATCCACCCCTACCATACTATGTTAGAACCCATTCTCTCCATCATGTAATCAAGAAAAGGCTAGCTCACCTTATCATATGCCTTTTCAAAATCAATTTTGAAAACAAAACATTGGGATTTTCTCTTCCTCACCCCATCAATTGCCTTATTTGCAACAATAACACCATCAACCAATTGTCTTCCCTCGACAAAAGCAGATTGATTCTCCCCTATAATTGTGTTCAGTATTCTATTGAGTTTATTTGCTAGCAATTTGGCAAGAATTTTATAAATACATCCAATTAAGGAGATGGGTCTATACTACTCAATACCTTAAGGGTTTTCTTTATTTAGTATCAAAACCAGAAAGGAAGCATTAGAACACCTTACCAATCTTCCATTTCTATGAAAATCCATGAGGAAGTCTATGATATCTGCTTTAATCACCTCCTATTCATTCTTTAGAACATCGAAAGTAAAACCATTCGGACCTAGTGCTTTGGTGCTGTCACAGTTCCATACTATAGCTTTAACTTCTTCTAGTGTAAAAGGTTCAGTAAGCATGCATCTGTCTTCCTTGGAAATAGTCTTGAAATTCAGCCCCTCTAAAGTGAGTCTTGGCCATCCCTCATCAGTGAATAAGTTCGCAAAATACTTCATAACACCTTGTTTTATATCTTCAACTTGTCTCAGCTCATTGCCTTCTACAAAAATTACATTTATTTCATTCCTACACCATCTGCCCTTAATGCATTTGTGGAAAAACCTGGTATTAGCATCTCCTGTTTTTGGCCAAGTTTTTTGCACTTTTGGTTGGGCCATCTCTTCTTTCAGCTGCATATTCTTTAACAACTGAGTATAGTGTGAGCTTCTGAGTATGATGTCTTCATTTGTTACACTGCTTGTTTCCCCTTTACCATCAATTCTATTTATCTCCTCCCTAGATTGCTCAATTTTTCTGTCCACTTCCTGTAGAGAGGACTTTGACCACACTCGGAGAAAATCCTTTGTCATCTTCAATTTCTCCTTTAAAATGAATCCACCCCATCCTTGAACCTTAATATCTTTCCATTTTGCTGCAACCATATCTATGAAACTAAGGGTATGTAGCCAAGCATAGAAGAATTTGAATGGCTTTGGTCTCCAATTTCATGCCTTGTTTTTTATTGGTATTGGGCAATGATCTAATAAAGATATGTGAAATCCTCACTGCTTTAGATCAAGCCATTTCATTATCCATTCATCATTGAATAAGAACCTATCCAGGCGACTCATGCAATGACCATTTGGTTGGTACCATCTATACTTCCTTCCCAACAGAGGTAGATCTAACAAGCCATTATTCACAATGAACTCTTCAAGACCCTTTATAACTCTCCTCACACTCCTGCCCCCCTTTCTTTCCTGCAAGCTTTTGATAGCATTAAAATCACCCCCTAAACACTAGCGCCCCATGTTATTCCTTATCAGCTATTCAAGTTCTCTCCATAGAATTTTCTTTTCCTTCAAGACACATGGAGAGTACACATTACACAAAAAAACACAGGTTAGCCTCAGGTCCCCATAACCCATGAATCCCGAGAAAACCATCACCTTTAAAAACATTTACTTTCTCAAATATTTCACTATTCCAAATAATAATTAATCCTCTTGAGGCTCCCAAAGCAAATTTGGCCGCCCACTCCATGTTATTTGAGTCCCAGAGCCTTCTACATAATTTTCTATCAACTATTTCCATTTTTGTTTCTTGCAAAAACAAAACCTCTACACTGTGCTTCATCACCAATTCTCGGACCTCCCTTTTCTTCCCCCTACCTCCTAACCCCCTAATATTTAGTGATAGCAAAATCAGGGGAAATTAGCAAGCACCTGATTTCTGGTAAGAATGCTTACCGTGTCTTTCTTTCTTCTTGGTCTATACCGCTACTCCATCTCTTCTAGTTTTTGTAGCACTGAAATCTCTTTCCCTTCAAATGAGACACCCAATTCTTTGATTCGACTCAATAAGGTTTCTGTACCTCTAATTTGACCCTTCAATTTAATACTCTTGTTGCAATTTTGAATATTGTTGTTGTTTATGGATTCATCTGCTACCAAATCTGCTGAATCTACTTCAAAGGTGACCTCTTGTGCCATTTTTTCTGCCACCAATCTCTTTCCTTTCTTCCTTTTCTGTAGCCAAATACCTTTAAGTCTGCTTGACTACATGTATACAGATCTACATGTCTTCACTCTCTGCTTCTGCACTTTCTTCTTCTTTTCCTCTCCTTTTCTAGTCCAATCTGGCATCTCTCTTGAATCATTGTCAAGCTCTTTCCAAAAATTGTCGTCCTTTTCAGACCTCACATGGGTTGTTTTCGTTTTTTACCTTTTTGTTAGGCTTATCTAAGGATATTGGGCTTAATTCTTAATGATTTGGCCCATCATCCTTGAGCCCATTTCTCGCATTGCCAACCTAATTGGCCCAGTTGATTCTCCCTCTTTCCTTAGCAGCACTTCAATAGTGGGTGAAGCCTTGTCCATTACATATTTTGTGCTACTTTCCCATGAAGCCTCCCTTGTTGCTCCCATTTTGAAAATACCCCTGTTCCCAATGTTTTCCTCACTGACATCCATCTCTGCTCCCATCTTTCTCACCTCTACCTCGAGCCCAGCAATCATTAAATGTTTTCTTGTTGAACCTTTTATCCCACCCGTTGTAATCTCATTTGCCTTTTCAAAACATTTATCCGGTCCCCCTATCATAGAAGCCTAATCTTCTATCCCTTCAACTGTACATACTTTTTCCTTTCTTGTTTATTTTGAAGACTCACCAACTTCATTGCTGAGCTGTCAACTGACAAGTGTGCTATTGCATTCGATCCTTTCGCCTCATCTTCAACGTCTGTCTCCAGCACACATAATTCGGTTACCATGTCATCATCTTCTTTATCTCTTTGAGTTTGCTTGGAGTTAAAATCACACGAACACTAATCTGCATCATCATCAGAATCTTCCGCTGACCATTTATCTCTATACTCAGTACCCCCATTTATCTTGAAATCTGAATTCATTACATATAGACCATTGTTGGACTCTTCCTCATAAAATTTTACATTGTACAAAACACCATTAATCTTTATGGTTAAGGACTTTGAGATGGATTCCATCATAGGTGTTGATATGAGAAATCTAGCTGCATCAAGTCTTTTTTTCCCATTGGTACTGTCATCCAAAGAAACATAAGTACCCCAAAGATTTTCAAAAGATTGGAAATATTTTAGTTTCCATTCATGTAAAAGTAGGCCCAAACACCTAATCCATGGAAATCTTTCCGCTACCATCATCGTCAGCTTCCATGGTTTGATTTCCTCAAACCATTGTCCTAGCCAATCTTGGCCAGTTTCAATAAGTTCTTTCAAGTCTTCATAATCATGACCTTCCAACCGGACCAACCTACCACCAATTGTTCTGATTTTGCAAAAGAAAACTTCTTCCATAAAGAATTTTTCTTACAAAGTTGGAATCAATGTTACCAAGTGAGCTGTCCCTACAAAGCACTTTTCCAACCACGCATACTCATTTTGCTTCACATTAAACTCTATTCCTGATCATGCTTAAGGTTGTTGTTTTGGCTTCCATCTCCACTTTCTTTGTTCATTTGCCTTGGGCCTTTTGTTTTGCTTTTTGATGTTTGCTTCATGATACCATTCCTCTTTTAGTCCCATTTTTTTGATAATCAACATTATATCCTTTGACTATCTCTGCAAAAGTCAAGTTTCATTGAGCTCCTGCATCAGTTGTAGCCAAATTCATCATCTTGTTTCCCAGATTTCTTTGTTTGAAGTTCTCATACCCTAACTTCTCAAACCAAGGTTTGTTAGCTTGAAGTTTAAAACCATCTATTTGACTTTGATTTAGCTTTTTCTCCAGCTCTCCAACATCTTTCACCTCCAAGAATCTGACAAAATCGAATCTCCTCCCTAAGCGGTCTGTCTTCTTAGGACAATCAATTTCAATAACCCTGCCCTCTCCCAATCTATTGAAAGTTCTCCACATTTATTCAAAAGATTAGTCTTTCAAAAAATTTGTAAAAAAGAATGGAGTTGCTTGGTTGTATATTCTTTTCTCAAATCCCCCATAAAACTCCCTCGGTTGGTTCCTGCTCACCCGTTGAACACCCTAGTAACGTTGCACTATCCACTTTCCTCGTTCTCTACTATCGATCCCTCTCTCTGGCTCTCGCTCTCTCTCTGGCTCTCCCTCTCTCTCTGATGCTCTCCCTTCGTTTTTTTGAACCTACATATCAATACAATTTATTTATGGACACTAATTGGTAAACAATTTTACTTAATACATTGCATATTATATTTCTTAAAAAATTATTATTTTTTGGTTTAAAATTAAAAACTAACAAATTTAAAAATACAGTTATACATACATGCGTACCATAAAAAAGAGAGATGAGAGAGAGAGAGGTAGAGAGAGAGTGAGGAACCATGGACTAAGGGCTTGGGATAGGAGGAAAGCACAAAGCAAGAGCAAGTTTAGAAGCCAGGGACGAGGAGGTTTTACACATGGAAATCAGATTGCGAAAGGACAAAGGAAGAGAGATGAAGGAGCAAGACTTTTCGATCCCAAGGTCTATGATCAGGTTACTACATATTTCTTCACAAATTTTCTAGAAGACTAGACTATTGAACAAATGTGGAGAACCTTCAAGAAGTTTGATAGAGTCTTAGATATTTATTGTCCAGATAAAAAAGGAAAGATGGCAGATGATTTGGCTTTGTGAGATTTTAGGGAGTTGTTGATGAAATAGTGCTAGAGGATCAGCTGGATAGGATTGTGGTTGACAACGTGAAGTTGAGAGTAAATCAACCAAGATTTGGTAAAAGCACGAGAAGTATGCAGTGTGAAACGGAAACAAAAACTACCATCGCACGAAATGAAAGAGACAAAAGAAGCTTCATAGAAGTGGTAGGAGGTGCGTTGATCCCAGAGGAGAAGAAGAATGTAAAGGGTGGACCTTCTACAGCAAGGAAAATGAATAAGGGAGAATGGAAAGGTAAACATCATGAAAAATCCTAGTTCGGGATAGAATTTGATGTGGAAGAGGAGGGGTTTATTTGGCTGAAGGCGTGTTACATAGGAGAAGTTCACGCAATGGAGATGGTCCCACTACTTTACGAGAAATTATTGATGGAAGGCATCTTTTGGGTTAGAACTCGCACAATGGGTAGCAAGCTTGTATTGTTAGGTGCTAAAGACAAGGAAGAACTCAAGGACCTTGTGGAAATAGGAAGGATTGGCTTGGATAGTGGTTTGCTGAGATTAAAGAATGGTCACCAACAATAATTGAATCAGAAAGATTCGTTTGGTTGAAGATCCATGGTGTTCCGCTGCATAACTGGAATTCAAAATTTTTCTCCACAATCATAACAATGTGGGGGAAGTTCATTTCATTGGATGATAGCACAAGGCTCAAAAAACGTTTCAACGTTGCTAGAGCTCTCATTTCCACTGGAGCAATAGAAGCTATCTCAAAGTTTTTCAAAGTCAAGATTAATGGGGATGTGTTCCAAGTCAAAGCAGCTAAGGAAGAGACACCAAATGGTCTATTCCCTTTGAAATTTGACTCTTAGCGTGCCTACCCAATGGTGAATTCAAATGAAGATGAAGACGCATGGTCTAGGGATAGTGAACTAGGAGAGTTACAGAGGGGTGAATGCTTTCAAATCCAAGAAGATGTTGGTGATGTTGATGAGACGGTTTACAGGGATTGAGAGAAAGAAAGACAATCTACTTTTCAAAAGTTTGAAAATTTTGAAAAAAGAGGAGACGTTGAGGAGAAGGAGGCAGCGTATCTAGATTACTACAAGAAATAGAAGGAAGGGAAGGGTCAATAGAGATGGTTGGTGACAGTCTAAAGGCGATTCATGAAAAATAAGGCCATAAATGCATAATGCTTTTCAAGGAAGTGGGTGCAGGCAAAGAAGGAAACACAATAAGGGATATCTTTGGAGGTTTAAATGGAATTTTTGGGGTTGGTGTTGTGGCACAAATGGGACTTTATAGAAAGGAGGGGGAATTAGCGACAAATAGGAAGATGGACTGGTCCAAGGAAATCAGTGAGAAGGTAGCATAAGCGGATTTGGGCCAACATAAAGAAATTCAATGGACTATATCTCTTTAACTAGTGGGCCTATGATGGAACATAAGGAGGGCCTAGTGGAGGGCTCAGATTTAAAGAAAACCCCAAAAGAAATGTAGGAGCAACTAGAGTCCAACAAGGTCATAGAGAGTGACCACGGGCAAATAGAGGAACAAAGGGAAAGAATGGAGAAGCAAAGTAGGAATAGAAGGAGAAGGAGAGTGAAATCTTGTTTTGAAGTGTATGAAAGATCTATTCCAATCAGATGCAACACAATCACATTTAAAGACAATTCCTTTTTTGGATGGGGTGCATGGGAAATGTGGAAGTTTGTGAAGGAATTATGGATCGAAATAGATGAAGATGAAGAAGATCTAGTTCGTAAGATTGCAAGATTAGAAGAAAAGGATAAAGCAAGGAGAAAAAGGACCCTAAACTAGAATAGAAGGGTCTATTAGGTAAGTAGGTGGACTTTATTCCTTCATGATTTTGCTCAGTTTTAATGTTAAAGGGTTGGGGGATTTAGGGAAAAGAAGGGAGATTAGGAAGTTGGTACAAAAGGAGATGGTAGATTTTCTAGCAATTCAAGAAACAAAGATAGAAAACGTCAATAGTAGATTATGTCGAGCTATTTGGGGCTCAGATGACTTTGATTGGGTGACTACACCTTTGTGTGGGTTATCGGGAGGCTTATTATGCATTTGGAAATCTGCAATTTTTGAAAAAATTGCATCATTTGAAGGACCATACTACATTGGTGTTCATGGCTTATGAGGAGAGAATAAAACACCAGTTTCAATTATAAATGTTTACGGGCCTTGTGATTTAGCAGCTAAGAGGGTCTTATAGGGAGAGTTAAAGGATTTGATTGTCAACTTAAGGGGTAAGTGGTGTGTAATTGAAGACTTCAACGCTGTAAAATCAGCACAAGAAAGAATGGGTGGGAGGAGTTCAAATATGAAATAAGGAACTTTGAGGCTTCCATCAAAGAAACTGGTTTGGTGGATTTACCAATGTATGGTAGGCGATTTACATGTTATCACTCAAGTAGCACCTTTATGAGTAGCTTGATCAGTTTCTCCTATCAGAAAAGTGGTTGCAGGAATGGAATAACTTGAAGCAATGGGTAGTGACAAGAGGTGTTTTCGATCACTGTCCAGTGGTCCTAAAGACTCTCATAAGGGACTAGGGCCCAAAACCTTGTAAGTTTTTTGACACATGGTGGCAAATTCTTGGCTTTACAGAGCTATTGATTGAGTAATGGAATTCCTTTAAAGTGAGAGGGTGGAAAGGATATTGCTTAAAGGAGAAACTAAAAAAGCTCAAAGTATACTTAAAAGGATGGTGTAAAGAACAGATGGGGGACTTGGATTCTAAGATAGAGGAAGCGAAAAAGAAGGTGGCAGAACTAGACATAAGGGCGGAATCTCACCCACTATCTACTAAGGAAGATAAAACAAGGAAAGTTTGCTTGGAGGAATTATGAAAGAATCTAAGGTTATAAGAGTTGAAGTGGAGACAAAAAGTGAGGAAACAGTGGGTAAAAACGGGTGATGCGAGCACTAAATTCTTCCATAGATGCGTTAAAGGAAGAAGAAGGAACAATGAAATTTATTGTATACAAATTAAAGGGTGACGTTTTGAAGATGTTAATGGGATAAAAAAACGAAATTGTGGAGTTTTATGAGGAGCTGTTCTCTGAGGAAGATTGGATTCGACCCACTTTGAATGGAGTGAATTTTAGATGAATTTCACAAGCTCAATGTGAAGCTTTCACACCTCCATTTACGGAAGATGAAGTAAAGGTTTCCATTTGGGATTGTGAAAGTTCCAAAGCACCAGGACTAGATGGCCCTAACTTCGGTTTTTAGAAGAGAATGTGGGTGACTTTGAGAGAGGATATTATGGGGTATTTCTTGGAATTTCACAAAGCAAGGATAATTGTGAAGGGAGCTAATGCTTCGTTTCTAGTTTATGCCTCGTTTCTAGCTTTGATTCCTAAAGTCGACAACCCACAAAAGATTGAGGAGATCAGACCTATTTCGCTAATAAACTTGATGTATAAGATGGTTTCTAAAGTTCTTGCAAACAGGCTCAAAGCAGTGATGGATGATTTAATTGGTGAGTAGCAATTAGCTTTTGTGAGAGGCAGATAACTAGTTGATTGTGTGATGGTGGCAAACAAAGTTTTGGATGAGGTAAGAAGTAAAAAGATGAAAGGCTTCTATTTTAAAGTGGATTTTGAGAAAGCATATGATAGAGTCAGCTAAGCTTTTTTGGACTACATGATGAAGAGAATGGGTTTTAACCATGTGTGGTGCCAATGGATGCAAGAGTGTATGCATTCAGCGAGTATTCAATATTGGTGAATGGAGGCACAACAAAGAATTTTCATCCTCAAGGGGGTTAAGGCAAGGAGATCCCTTGTCTCCATTTTTATTCTTGTTAATAACCAAAGGTCTTAATGGCATTATCTCATTAGTGAAGGAGTAGGGGATTGTTAACAAGATTGAAGGTTGGAAATGGAGGAGTCGAACTCACTCACCTTCAATTTGCAGATGATATGATTATGTTTGGGCAGGCAGAGGAAAGAAATGTATGGGTAGTGAAGTGTATAATGATAGTGTTTGAACTTAATTCTGGGTTGAAAATAAATTTTGACAAGAGTCTACTGTATGGCTTGAATGTAGATAAGGAATGGGTGGAGAAAACAGCTTGGAGTCTTAATTGTAGAAGAGGTGCTCCACCATTTAAATACACTACTGCAGGAATGGGATTTTCGAACCGAAATATCGGTCCGGATATATAGGAAATCGGTCTGAATATATATATCCGGACCGATATTGGTCCTTATAGTTGATCTGAAAAAACCTGGTACGAATAAGTCT